AAAGACAATACAAGCAAAATGTACAAAAATTGTATCGTACTGCTGGTATCCAAGTCACTACAGGTATGTCTCCACAGTAACTAGACACCTGTGGCTGGCCCGTGCCAGCTGACTTGGGCTCAAGGAGCTTGACACTGCGACGTGGGAGGGTCCCAGAGTTCAGTCTCCAGCCCAAGCCCGGAAGTCTACACAGCAATGAAATAGCCCCACAGTCCGAGGCCAAATCAGCTGGCAGAGGCTGGGTTTTTCTTTGTTGTGTAGACATACCCTAATATACTATAAAGCTCACAGTGATGGACAATGTTCAGAAAGTATAAAGGTTGGGGGCGGCAGTGGGGGGTTGGGGGTGGAATCCACCAAAACTCAACTTCCTAGCCACACTTCTTTGGTCTATTAATATTTTAGTCATGACAAGAAACTAAATTTATTTTTGAAGCATGGGGAAATAAAATAAGATTAAAAAGGGTCTGCTTCATTGTGTGTGACGCATCCTGTAGTGGAGAGGAGAAAGATGACACTAATAATATCAACAGTGGAATTTATATTGTTTGCCTTCTTCAGAGCACTTTACAAACATTTATGCAGCCTCACAACATCCCTGTTGGGTAGGTAAGTAAGAATTATAACCCCCATGTGGAAACTGAGGCAGGGATGTTAAATGTTGCCCAAGGCCGGAGATGGAGAATGTGTCAGATCCAGGATTATAATTCATGAGTTTCTGGCACCTAATCCTGTCCTTAAACCAGATCTCATTGCAAAGAAACTCATCTTCCCTTCTCTGTGTGCCTCTCTCAAGTGTTAGTTGGCAGGGCTTGCTCAGCAGTTCCTTCACACAAGCACAGGGAGAAGACAAAGTTCTAGACAAAGCTCTCTCAGATTCTTATATCCAGTTAAAACCAGGAAGTGTAGGCCCACCAGTTGAGAGACAGCTGACATTTAATTATAAAAATACAACATAACAGATCATTTCAAGGTCTGAGCGGAGGAGTGGGCCACATCTTATTTACCTGAATCTGTTTGCTCATCTCTAGTCTGAGGTTTTCACCATTATTCCCATGACTTGCCAGTTAAAGACAGATGGAAGCTGTTTTCTAATTCTATTTCACTGTAAGTGACAAAGACAAATGATTGTATTACCTCGAGAGTTCCTTTGGCAGAGTAAGCGGCGTATGAGTACAGAAGGTCTTGGCTGTGAAGCTTTTTGGTCTCCCTGTAACACTTCTGTCCACTAGGATAAAAGCATTCACCACTATTTTTCAAAGTTACTGTATTTGAAGAAGAGCCTGGCAGGTCAAGCAAGACAGAGTAATTTACTAGCTGAACATCTTCAAGGCCACAAGACGTCCATTGAACCAGAAGTTTCATTGCAATGTCTGTATCTTCTTCTTTCCTAGGCAACTGTATCAAATCTCTGGGGGTAGGGAAAAAAAAACAGTAATAGTACATTTTTTCCAATACACATTCATCTTGTACAGATATAGCAGTTCACAATTTCATTAATGTGAGGCAAGGAATTCATGATAGATTACCATACAATACAACAAAGCACCTTTCATTCTCTTTGCATGTAATTCCTATCAGTTATCAGAAAAATAAAACTCTTTGTGGAGAATAATAATTGTTGTCTTTTAAGAAAAATATCCTATTGGAATTCCAAAATCCTACAGAAGTGATTTCAAATCATAGTATAATTTGTAAAGCGTTCAATATTTCCATGTAGAATTTGCACTTCCATGCTGAAGTATCTGCTTGTTAAATTTCTGGGTGCTGGCTTTTATCCCTATAGCTAGCCTGGCTACAAAATTATGTGCAGAGGGAATATTTATTTTTTAACCTCAAACCTGATCAATTCTAAACAAGATAATTTGATATTTAACATTTATAAAGTAACTTTCATTTATGACTTTAAACATTAGAAACATTAATTCCACCTCATAAAACCTTAAAAATTAAGTACATTTTACAGATGGGCAAACTGAGTCACAGAGAGGGTAAATAACTTATCCATTATCACATTGTGATTAACTGACTGAGCTTGCAATAGAAATCAGGGATGGAATCCTGGCCTCAGCGAAGTCAATGACAAAGCTCCCATTGACTTCAGTAGGGGCAGGATTTCACTCTATGCATCTTGAGAAGTATGGGGAAGGGCTCCACATTTTGATCCACTGATGAATGTGAAAGCAAGTTCTAAATATTTATGTCCAGATTTTTTTTAAACTAAGTCTGCTAATTTTATATTACATCTGTTTAAAAGAATCTTTCTAAATTCTGTAGTATTACAAATCTCCACAAAGTAGTGGATCATAATTAAAACATGGCACAGGAGTGTGATAGGGTGATGCTGTCTGGAGCATACTCCTGCTGCAGGCTGGGAAATGACAGGCACACCTACCTCAGTTACCCTTTTCAGAGTTTTCCCAAGTGAGGTTAATTTATTACAAAAGTCCCAGGCATATAAATCATAATAAAAGTCCCATAACAGTAATCCAGATTTCCCCCATGATAGTACAAACAGTGCAGCATAGAGTTACGGCATCTCTCACCATGCCTAAACATCTCTCACCACATCCCAGCTCTCTAGT